CATTGGTGAATGCCACAAATTCTCCTAAATCACTCGTACGCACAACTTAAGAACAAATCTGTGCGTACGAACGGTTCTTGCATGAGGCCCATTGACTCTTGTTGACAGAACTTTTCCATTGAACATCATAGAACCTGATGTTCTTCTAAACTCTGGCTTGTAGTACAGATTCCATAAAACGTCTTGAATCTGCACTTCCACACTTTGGAGTTCCACCTTGTGTTTCTCAGCATGATGTCATTACCAATGAATATTAATCTAAAACGATAGTAGCTTGTCAGGGTGCAGAAATGTATCAGTCCTCCTTCAGTTCTCTGTACTAAAGATTCCATCATATTTTCAGCAGGTCTCTGTGTTCAGTGTTGATGTGAACAATCAGAGAGACACAAGTTGTTTCCATCTGTGTATTTATGAACCATAACATTCTATTGTGTAATCAGCACATGTAAATAAACTTGTGACTATTACTGACTGAACTATCAGTGTGTGAAAAACTGCTGGCACCAAATATATGTTTCTGTCTTTACTTCCATTCACTCATTTCTATAGCCTAACATTGACCTTCACCCTAAAATCAAACCCTCTTCTACACTGTAAAAAAAAGAAAACTTGGCATAACTAAAAAAAATGTAAGGCAACAAACTTTAGGGCATTTTTAAGATTTGGACATCAACTTAACTTTTTTAATTTTGCTTTTGACTTTGCCAAACTTTGATTTCCATGTTTTTGTAACTCAAAAGTTGTAGGGACTTTAAATGGCAGCACAATTGCTCAGTGGTTAGCACAGATGCCTCACAGCAAGAAGGTTCTGGGTTTGATATCCAGTTCGGACCTGGGGTCTTTCTGTGCTGAGTTTGCATGTTCTCCTCGTGCTTCCGTGGGTTTTCTCCAGGTACTCCGGTTTCCCCCACCCCTAAAAACATGTACAATAGGCTGCCTTCAGGCCCAGGCCTCCCTTGAAAAAGAGATCTGAGATCTCAATGGGACTTGCCTGGTAAAATAACAGTAAATTTAAAAAATAGGTTGTAAGAACTTTGAATACCGAACCTTCCTCACATGAAAGTAGCAGTAACTTAAAACTTTAAGTTGCACAAACTATGAATCTTATATTTCTCTTACTCCAGTTATAGAATTTGACAATTATAAATCCTAATTACTGTGAACTTCACTGTGAGTTGCAGCAACTTAAATTTTGTTGTTGCATCAGCAATGTTTTTTGCAGTAATGATTGGATGAGAGTAATCCGCTACTGTTGACTAGCATCATGATGTCATTATAGACAACATCTTTCTTTGCCATCAGGGTTGATCCTTGATGATACTTATCTGTCCTGGCCATTTTCCCCTCTACGTATATGTCTATGACACAGACCTCTCACTCATGGTGTCAGCTAAAGTCAGTAACCAAAACTTAACACAAAGGCCAAATCAAGCCTGAATGTGACAACATTAGAGAACACAACTCAAAATGGTTCATGAATCACAAAGTTAAGTGTTGGTCTTTTTCAGAGGTGAGTTTTCAGAAAATTATACATTTCAGCAACAAAGAGGCGGAGCCAGAACTCTGACATCTGGAGGGCCATGTACAAACGGTGCGTACGCACAAAAAAGTTACGTGCGCCAGGTTCTACGCCCACGTTGGGATGTATCAAAACCAACGTTGAGTGAAAGTCTGCGTATATTTACGCACACTTTTCACCTGCCGTGAGAATGTGCGGCAGCCACGCAAAGTTTTTCAGTCGACGGTTTTAACTCACAAAGTCATGAATCTGACCTGAATCCACAGAAATATGACTCTGTTGTGTTTTCTGGATGTAAGGAGCGTCTGAACACGGTGTTAGATTTTTATTTTAGTTTGAGTTTTTATTGTTTTAAACTCAAACGATCATGAAACTGAACCCCGGGACTGAAAATCAATTAACCTCAGACAAGAAAATAGATCAGCCTGAAAATGATCAAATGAACCTCAGTCCAGTCTGTAAACTGTTTTTATATTTTTGTCAGATAGTTGAAAATCTTGTGGGTCCCGCGGGCCGGAAAAACCCGACACATTACGTGCGGCATGAAAAAATAATAATAAAATAAAAAAGGCTGAAGAGGGGGAGCAAAATCGGATACAAATGGTGGCTCACTGTACATTAAGAATAATTATTTTTTCTGTTTGTTGTCTTCTGGCTGATGCTGAGTTGAGTTGTGGCCGTAGCGCAGCAGCTGAGCTTTGGGTAGCTACTCGCACCAGGCGCGTGCACCCTCGCCAGCTGGGAAGGTGTTCATATGTGTCAACCCTTTTGGACATTTACCTGTCTAATGAGCCTCAAAAATCTATATTTTTTGCTAAAAATCCGTAGGCTACCACTCGTACCCGCGCATGGGGGTGGGGTGGGGGTCTGTACATGGAGATGACAGCACCTGCTGTAACGCAGGAGGAAAAAATGGATAACTTGATGTTTATTGTTTTTTTTTTGTTGTTTGTTTTTTAACGTCCGTTCAATGCCGTGTTCAACTAAATAGACAACAACTAACCAGGCTTCAACGTCACATTCGGGAGATGTCTGTAAATTTCAGGAAAATCTCAGGCTTTGGTTATCCCGTGAGAATGCACCACATAAAACAATGACACCCACCCCACTACTTATTTAGACAGTTTTCTCACTCATTCTCCATTTGATGTATAATTTTCCTGCATCTAAAAATCATTTCGGATCCCACAGAGAGGAATCTGAGGAGAATCTCACACGCTGGACACATTTACATCTATTTAACATATTTAAATGGAGGTGTGTCAGGGGAGGTGTCTCTCGTGCGCTAAGTTCCATGTTCATTGGGATGTATAAAGGAAAGGTGCGCAGGAACATGCGTATACGCACAGTTTTATACATCTGAATTTTTTGGTGCGGCGCACTTTTCTAAATTTTTCCATACGTCAACTTTTAGTGTGAAATCTGCACAATCCTTTATGCATGAGGCCCCTGAGGAGGAGGAAGCAGGAAGCAGGAAGAGGGAAACAAATACATTCAACTTGTGTTTCTGCCCATTTTTTTCTTTTTAATTGTTAACACTAAAAGATTGGACTGGATAAATACAAACCAGAAGAATAAGAAAAAAATAGTTCACTGCGAGCTTTGTGTCCGAGTAGTTCACTCTGCCTTCAACTCAAAAGCCAACTCCAAAAGTTGTCTTTCCCACATTTCACAACAAAAGCATGAAAGTTAGCAGCACTTTCATTTGTTGCAATGACCAACAACTTAGAGAACGAAGTACTGACAACTCACAAAATAATGTTTAAGGTTACAAATACCTTGGTTTTTTGGATTGACTTAAATTATTGTCCCAATATGCCAAACTTAAAAG